ACTATATAATTCTTAGTAACTCCTACATGCAAGCTTTACCCTTTACACCACATTTTTCTCTTACGCCTTCTCCCCTCCCACCCCTCCTTTTTTTTTCTTTTCTTCTTTCTTTTTTTTTTTTGAGACAGGGTCCCACTAAATTGCCCAGGCTGGTCTCAAACCGGTGATCCTCCTGTCTCAGCTTCCCAAGTACCTGTGATTAGAAGCATGCACCACCACATCTGAGACAGGGTCTCACTAAGTGGTTCAGATAGCTTTGAACTTTCTACCATCCTGTCTCAGCCTTCCAAGTAGTTGGGATTCATGCTTTWTCCTTTATACTGCATAAGATAGATWTTATAGCCTATTTATAGTCTTACAAATGAAATTTTAATTTTTAGTATAGAATAAAATTTACTATACTTGATTTACTATACTATACTGGGGAAAATAATAAAAAGTATTTTTTACTCCTCTAGCTCTGGTCATATCTATCCTCTTTAGACTTAAAGAAATATAAAAAAACAAAAAGAATTCATAACAAAGTAGAATAGGGATATAGTTCTATTTTTTTTTTCAGTACTGGAGATTGAACCCAGGGGCACTCAGCCACTGAGCCACATACCTAGCCCTTTTTTGTATTTAATTTAGAGACAGGGTCTCACTGAGCTGCTTAGCATCTCACTAAATTGCTGAAATTGGCTTTGACTTGAGATCCTCCTGCCTCAGCCTCCTGAGCTACTGGGATTACAGGCCTGTACCACTATATCTGGTGAATCTAGGTCTCTTAACATCTTGCTTATAAACTGAGAATTCTCTGAATATGATCATACTCTTTTTGCCACTAGATTTATATGCACTTATGTACTAAAATATACAAATTTGATAGAGAAAAAGAGGCTATTGCATTGACCCTGAGTTTAATTCCAGTGACCACSATTTATTCTATGTCTTCTGAAATGTATCTCACTTCATAACAACCAGGACAAGGAAGATATTACTGTTAACCTTTTCCTTGAAACTGAAGCTCAGAGAAGTTAGATGAATTTGCCTGAGATTGCATTCACACCCCACATCCATCTTATTAAAAGGGCCATGCTTCCAATCTTTAAAATGAGGAGAGGAAACACCATGTGAAGACAGAGGCAGATGTTGGTCTGATGTTTCCACAAATCAGGGATACTAAAGGTTGCTGGCAAGTATAGAAGTTAGGAAAGAAACATACAACAGATTCTCCCTTAGAAATTTCAGAAGGAACTAACCCTTTGGACACCTGGAATTTGGATTTCTAGGTACCAGTACTGTGAGACAATAAGTTTATGTCCTTCTAAGTCACCTAGTCTGTGGTACTTTGTTATAATCCTAAAAAACTAATATTCCATGCTTCTACTTTAGAGCAATAATGAGATGGTAAGAGATCATAAAAGATGAGGATGCTAGTTAATACAGATACTTATCCATCTCATGCCATTTATCCCCCCATGAACACACATATGTACTGAATGGTTCCCATGACACATTTAATGCTCATAGCTACAATACTGTGAGACACATGCATTCCCCCATGTTCTAATGGTTGTGTGCTTACCAAGTAGTTGGGATTCATGCTTTATTCTTTATACTGCATAAGATAGATATTATTACCAAGAATCAGTTGTGTTTATTCCYAGTTGTTCTTGCTATAATAATTTTGTAACTTGCTTAATAAAAAAACAGGGGTTCTATGAGGCCAATATCACCCTGATCCCAAAACCAGTCAAAGACACATCAAAGAAAGAAAACTGCAGACCAATATCTCTAATGAACATAGATGCAAAGATTCTCAATAAAATTCTAGCAAATCAAATACAAAAACATATCAAAAAGATTGTGCACCATGATCAAGTGGGATTCAACCCAGGGATGCAAGGTGGGTTCAACATACGGAAATCAATAAATGTAATTCATCACATCAATAGACTTAAAG